CTCCTCCTGCCGCTGCCGCTGCTTTGGCTGCTGCGTCATACGCCCCAGAGCCGCCGGGACGGAGGGGCTGGGCCTGGGGACCCCCCGGCCTCCGCCTGCACGCCCCCCGACGCCCGGACGTGCCCTCCCCGCTTGGGGGGCTAGCCTAGGTCTCCTACGTCTGCCCCTGCCCGGCTCCCGGCGGCCCCAGCTGTCACCGGTAAGGAGGCGGCAGGAGGCGCCGGTGGGGGGCAGGGAGCCGGGGGTCGGCGCGCAGGGCGCGGGCGGGAGAACCTCGCCGCCCTGGCCTCGGGTCCGGGCTGGGCCGACTCAAGTCCCTTCTCGGACTTGCAGTCGTGGGGAGTACAGACAGGGATTGGGACACGCCCCCCTCCCGGGGCACTCAGGGAAGTTCTCTAACCTGGGGGCTTGGAGCCCCGAATTTGAGGATAACCTGACATAACCTGGCATCAGGGTAATTGTTCTTAACGAGACACACAGGCCAGGGGAACCAGCTGTTTCCACTCTGGAAAACATCTCCAGAAAAGCTCCCCAAACACATCTCCGGGCAACAGAGCACCCCAATTATGATACCTCTAAACAACAGGGGAAGGTGAAACTGAGTGGTAACCTTTGCTTCTGCAACCATCATTTCTCCTAACATCTAAAGGCCAGCAGGAGCTATCCCAGGAGACCTCTGGAAGCTGGGAAACTAGAGAACTAGGTTTGGGGGAGGGGAACATGGTTAGGGAGTGGAGAGCCAGTCACTAGAATTGGAAGCGCTGGAGTCAAGAAGCTGGGCAGGGGTGCCCTGTGGTTTCCTAACCAGATGCCTCAGGGATTTGGAGACTGGGGAGCAAATGCTTGATTCTTGGCAGAGAAATAGGCAAAGGAAATGGGAACCTTCTCCTCCCCATCTCTTTTCTGGCTAGGCCCCCCCAGGATGCAATGGCGCAGCCCCCCCGGCTGAGCCGCTCTGGTGCATCCTCACTTTGGGACCCAGCTTCTCCTGCTCCCACCTCTGGCCCCAGGCCTCGACTTTGGGAGGGTCAAGATGTGCTGGCCAGATGGACTGATGGGCTGCTATACTTGGGCACCATCAAGAAGGTAAGACCTTCTACCTCTGACCTTCCCATTCCCCTATCTAATTCTAATTCCCATTTCATCTTCTGTGCTCACACATTACAGGTGGACAGTGCTCGGGAGGTGTGTCTGGTCCAGTTTGAGGATGATTCCCAGTTTCTGGTTCTATGGAAGGACATTAGCCCTGGTGAGACTATAGAGACCCAAGATTGTACAACCTGCGGAAAACAAACCTGGCTTGGGGGGGCAGAAGAGGGCTTAAGGGCACACCCCTTACACGAAGTTCTCTCACAGCTGCCCTTCCTGGGGAGGAACTCCTCTGTTGTGTCTGTCGCTCTGAGACTGTGGTCCCTGGGAATCGGCTGGTCAGCTGTGAGAAGTGTCGCCACGGTGAGAGGGCAGAACACCTGAATAGTACAGTTTGTCCTGGACCATCCAGGCTGTCTCCGGCCCTTCCCTCCAGCACTGGTCCCTGTGTTACCTGTCTTGATCTCAGTTCCCAGATTACTGCTGTGGCCAGTCTCTTTAGCCCTATAACTTCATTCCCTTCCAGCACAGAGAGGGGCAGCCATGGAAAGGGGTGGTATAAGCTTTACAGGCAGAGGGTGGTTCCAGTACACCCTTTTCTAACCATATGACCTTGGGCAAGCCCCTAAACTTCTAGGAGCCTTAGTTCCCTGACTTGTAAAATAAAGATAATGCACCCACCCCACCATGGTCAAGGATTAGATGACTATTCCTAGCCAGGGCTCAGTGGCTCAGTCTGTAATCCCGCGCCTTTGGTAGGCTGAGGTGAGTGGATTGCCTGAGCCCGCGCGTTCGAGACCCGCCTGGGCAACTTGGCGAGACCTCATCTCTACAAAAAAATCAAAAAATAAGCCAGGCGTGGTAGCACATGCCTGTAGTTCCAGCTACTTGGAAGGCTGAGGCAGAAGGATCACCGGAACCCAGCAGGTTGAGGCTGCGGTGGCCGGGAGCGGCCACTGCACTCCAGTCTGGGCAACAGAGTGAGACTCCAACTCAAAAAAAAAAAGACTATTCCTACCCGAATACCAAGCACACTCAAGTATGCAATACAGTAAGTGGTCTTCTATCAACATTATCATTTACCAGCTTATCATCAGGACTGCCATGTTCCAAGGGCCCCAGCCCCTGGAGAGGGAGAGGGCACTTCCTGGGTCTGCCGCCAGTGTGTCTTTGCAATCGCCACCAAGGTAAAGGCACCTCTGTTAACCCTTCCTGTGGAAACCTCCTATCTACAGCCTCTTTCAAGCCTTTCCTCTCCATGTCCCACTGTGGCCTCCTACCTGTTCTATCTCTGCAGAGGGGAGGTGCACTGAAGAAGGGCCCTTATGCCCGGGCCATGCTGGGTATGAAGCTTTCTCTGCCATATGGACTGAAGGGGCTGGACTGGGACGCTGGACATCTGAGCAACCGACAGCAGAGCTACTGTTACTGTGGTGGCCCTGGGGAGTGAGTAGAGTTGGGGGAGGGTTACAGAATGAGTGATGTGGTGATAGATTCCAGGGAATGAGGAGAAAGAACAGCGTGGGGAAATGGGAGGTTGGTGATGAGCAGGGTTTGGGGCAGTTTTGGGGAAGGTTGTGTCTGGAGGCCACTAATCCTATATTCCCCCTCAGGTGGAATCTGAAAATGCTACAGTGCCGGAGCTGCCTGCAGTGGTTCCATGAGGCCTGCACCCAATGTCTAAGCAAGCCCCTCCTCTATGGGGACAGGTGAGATTAGGACTAGCTCTCCAGGAGCCAAGGATGCCCTCTTGCTTTGTGTCTCCCTCAGTTCCCCCACATCTTCTCCACTCCAGTCTCCCCAGCCTCTGCATTTTCTCACCTGATCATCCATCCTTGCTTATGAGTCCTGTATACAGTATGTTCTTTCCCTCTTGTTCATATCTAGGTTCTATGAGTTTGAATGCTGTGTGTGTCGGGGGGGCCCTGAGAAGGTCCGGAGGCTACAGCTTCGCTGGTGAGCTGGAATGGGCACAACCTCAGTGTAACTCAGCACCCCTAGAATTTTACCATACAGGCCCCAATCTCCCACCTCCGGACTCTGGCTTTTGTAATGCTTCTGTGGCCTTGACAATTTGATGTTTCTCAGGGTGGATGTGGCCCATCTTGTCCTCTATCACCTCAGCGTTTGCTGTAAGAAGAAATACTTTGATTTTGACCGCGAGATCCTCCCCTTTACTTCTGAGAATTGGGACAGTTTGCTTCTGGGGGAGGTAAGGGGTAGTGGAACTTTGGGGGTTAGAGTGGGATGATGAGATATAGAGGAAAGAGAAAGAGGAAGTCACTGCTCCCTTGACCCTATTTTCCTTCCTCTCTCCCAGCTTTCAGACACTCCCAAGGGAGAACGTTCTTCCAAGCTCCTCTCAGCTCTCAACAGCCACAAGGACCGGTGAGTTGGAGAGAGGGGGAGGCAAAAGGGAGGCTCAGAAAGAGATGAAGATTTGAAAGACAGGAGGGGAGGGAGCTGGGCTTGGTGGCTCAGCCTGTAATCCTGCGCCTTTGGGAGGCTGAGGTGAGTGAATTGCCTGAGCCCGCGGGTTCGAGACCTGCCTGGGCAACTTGGGCAACCTCATCTCTACAATAAATCAAAAATTAGCTGGGCGTGGTAGCGCATGCCTGTAGTTCCAGCTACTTGGAAGGCTGAGGCGGAAAGATTGCCGGAGCCCAGCGGGTTGAGACTGCGGTGGCCGGGAGCGGCCACTGCACTCCAGTCTGGGTGACAGAATGAGACTCCAACTCAAAAAAAAAAAAGACAGGCGGGGAGGGACTGCAATCCACCTGGAGGACCATCGCTGAAAAGGATTGGGTAATGCTGGGCACAGTGGCTTAAGCTTGTAATTCCAGCACTTTGGGAGGTGATGGCGAGAGGACTGCCTGAGCTCAGGGGTTTGAGACCAGCCTGGGCAACTTGGCGAAACCTCTTCTCTACATCATAAAAATTAGCCAGGCGTGGTAGTGTGCGCCTGTAGTTCCAGCCACTTGGAAGGCTGAGGCGGAAGGATCACCTGTGTCTAGCAGGTTGAGGCTGCAGTGGCCGTGAGCATGCCGCTGCACTGAATTTGGGCAACAAAATGAAACAACCAACTCAAAAAAAAAAGGAATGGGGAATGGCATAAGGGAGAACCTTTTTTACAGCACTGACCCTTATAATTTTCTTCCTTGCCCTAGTTTCATTTCAGGGAGGGAGATTAAGAAGAGGAAATGCTTGTTTGGTCTCCATGCTCGGACCCCTCCCCCAGTGGAGCCCCCTACTGGAGATGGAGCCCCCACCAGGTCACTGGTCCAGGGGGAATGGGGGAAATTCTCAGGGTATTAGTCTGGGTGGTGTATGTATAGAGATGGGGAGGTCTTTGGGGTATCCGGGAGGGGGCTGGGGGGATAAGGAGGCCTCTTACAGCTTCCCTTCAGGGCAGGGCCCTGGGGGAGGGGTCTCACGTCCCCTGGGGAAGCGCCGGAGGCCGGAGCCAGAGCCCCTGAGGAGGAGGCAGAAGGGGAAAGTGGAGGAGCTGGGGCCACCCTCAGCAGTGCGCAATCAGCCCGAGCCCCGGGAGCAGAGGGAGCGGGCTCGTCTGCAGAGGGCACTGCAGGTACAGGGGCAGGGGGAACCCCAGGGAGCAAATGGTGGGTGTGGGAAGGGAACAAGGATTATCTCTTAAGTCCTTTGCCCCTTCTTCTAGGCCTCAGTGTCTCCACCACCTCCCAGCCCTAACCAGAGTTACCAGGGCAGCAGCGGCTACAACTTCCGGCCCACAGATGCCCGCTGCCTGCCCAGGTCAGTGCTCCTGTGCTCCCCAACCATATATGCTCCAAATTATTTACATCTTCTGGACTTTCTCAGAGTTCTTTTCCCCTTCCCTTTGGGTACCTATTTCTTGTCCTAGAAAGACTTCTACAACCAATGTCTGGTACCTGGTATTTGGGGGATTGGGATCTCCTGGGGATAGTGTTTGAGCTTTACACTTCCCAGAGGGAGATAGTCCTGTTCCCTTCTTTCAAGTCCTGACTTTCCCCTTCCCCAACTCCAGCAGCCCCATCCGGATGTTCGCTTCCTTCCACCCTTCTGCCAGCACCGCAGGGACCTCTGGGGATGGTGAACCCCCAGACAGGTGAGAGTCCATCCCATTACCAGTGATATCCCTCTTTGTTTTCAAGCTCCTTAATCTTTAACCATTTCTCTCTCATCCACAAGTGGCCCCCATTTCTGGTCAGTCTTCGTGTGCATCTGTCTGGACTCAAAGTTGCCTTCTCTCCCTAGGTCACCCCTGGAACTTCACATTGGTTTCCCCACAGACATCCCTAAAAGTGCCCCCTACTCGATGACTGCCTCGTCTTCCTCAGTCCCAGCCCCAGCCCCATCCCCAGGTCTTCCTAGACGCTCAGCACCCTCTTCTCCCCTGTGTCGTAGTTTGTCTCCTGGGACTGGGGGAGGAGTCCGAGGTGGGGTTGGCTACCTGTCCCGAGGGGACCCTGTCCGGGTCCTTGCTCGGAGAGTACGGCCTGATGGCTCTGTGCAGTACCTGGTTGAGTGGGGAGGAGGGGGCATCTTCTGAACAGCCTGCCTCTGCTGCCTCCCCATTCACACACACCGGCACTTTCGTACCCTGACCTCTGACCTCACCTACAGCTGGGATGTACCTGGAGATAGGGAGTAGTTCTCCCTACTACCCAGGCTGGAATCCAAGTGGGGGGTGGTGTGGAAGAGGCTCTCTCTTCTCTGCCTTCCTTCATGATTCCTGACCACCCCATCCTTCTTCCCATTTCCTTTGATGTTATTTTGTTACAACTTTTAAAATATTTTTTAAAATTATTTAACCCCTGGGGGCAGAGACTGAGGGGGGAGGGAAGGGATCCCAGACTCTGTATGATTGAAATAAAGAGAAATAATTAAATCTGGCAGCTCTGAGTCATTATGAAAGATGGAGAGAATACAGGGATGAGCAGCACTTATCTTCTCCAACCAAATTTGCATACATGACAAAGGCAAAAGGCAGAAAGAACCAAAGGTAGGATTTATTGAGGGTCCAGTCACCATCACCTGGAAGTCAGAGGGCACTAAATTATCTGAGGGGATGATGGCAAGAACAGGGCTTGTCACGGCAGGACTGTGCTGGAGTCAGAAACTGACTCTGTGACCTGGCGCACCCAATGCAAGTACGGGGAATTTCCCTGCTCCACAGGTAATGCAATCACCTCAGCCACTTCGTAAGGGTGCACAGACCTGCAAAATAAGTTAAGGGGTGGGGGGTTACTAAAATATTTACCCAAAGGAGCCCTCCCGCTCAGACACAAGGCCTAAACTGCCAGCAAGTCACCCCACAGCACATACCCTCACCCTTATTCGTCTCAAAATTCTCACCGAACAAAATCTGTTAAAGCTGGGACCAAGGAACTTTGGGTTTTAATCATCTAAGGGGCAAAGATAAACATAGTTGAATCAAGGGGTGGAGCTGATTTCAGGATCTCAGATGAGGAATAAGGGTCAAAGGGGTCAGAGCACTGGGGAAGTTTTGTTGGATGGGGGGAGTGTTTCTCACCATCAGGACCTCACTGTCTTCCTCGATCTTTCCTTTCCACTCATAGCTGAAAAGGTTGGAGTCGGGGAAAGCAAAGATTTTCCCTCAGGAAAAAGGCTCCCAGCCAGCCCCTAGAGTTAGGTTAACCCCCCAATTCCTATGACTCACATGGATGTAATCTGAGGGATGAGGTTCACACAGGCTGCTAGGCGCTTCTCCACCACAGCCCTAAGGCGAAGAGACAGTCCCATTTAGAGTGCCCCGTGGCCCTGATTTTCACTTTTATCTTTTTCTTCTTTCTTTTGGAGTCGGAGTCTCACTCTGTTGCCCAGGCTGGAGTGCAGTGGCAGGCTCACAGCACCGCAGCCTCAATCTGGTCAGGCGATCCTTTCGCCTCAGCCTTCCAAGTTGATGGAACCACAGGCGTGCACCGCATGCCCAGCTAACTTTTCTTTACTTATTGTAGAGACGAGGTTTTGCCAAGTTGCCCACACTGGTCTTGAACCCCTGGACTCAGGCAACCCTTTCGCCTCCGCCTCCCAAAGTGCTAGGATTACAAGCATGAGCCACCGCGCCCTGCCAACCCTGATTTTCTCACTGGCAGCCCAGAGACAGGCTTCCAAAGCTGGAGAAAGCAGACGGTGGCACTCGGCCCCACCCCCAACTCTCCCTTCATGATTATCCTCGCGCCACACCGAGGTCCCCACCTGGCGATCTCCTTGGCGACCTTCTCATTGGGGCAAGTGACAAAAGCTGCGGAGACTGAGCCTGGCACGTAGCCGGAGCCCGAGGCCGGCGAGGGCTGGGTCGGAGGGCTTCCAGAAGCCATGGACAGCAGGGTTCGGGGTACCAACAGAAGGCGGGAGGCCACAGGCAGCAGCGCCGGCATCCAAAGCAATGACAGAAGCAGAACCGCCTGAGAGCAGGGGGCGAATTCGGTCTCTCCCCGCAAATACCCCCAGGAAAGTGCACCCGGGAGGTCTTCACTTGGATACACACTCAGACTCTGCCCTCCCTCTTCTGCACTCCGAAGGAAAATGACCCTGAAGCTGGGAGAGAAACTTCGAAAAGGCAAAGTCTCGATTTTCACTGACACCTCAGGGGGGCCAACCTCAGGGATTTAGGGTGCCGGTAGTGGTCGAGGCTTTCAGGACCGGAAGGGGCGGGGCGGGTAACTCACCCCTCCGCCGAGCAGGATTGCGGGAGCCCGCCCCCCACTCATGCAGCCCATACTGGTAGAGAAGAGGTGATATGAAAGGTCACACGGAGAAAGCACCCCAAACCCCAGAAGAGCGGCCTCTTCTTACCTGGGGGTAGCCACGTGATAAGAAACACCACGCACCACGTGACAGTAGAAGCAGAGCCACCCAATGCTCCAGAGCCAGCCAATCCTGGTCCTCACGTGGCTCGGTTTGCTCCGCCCCTTAGTGAAGGAGGAGCGAAGAGAGGCTCGACCAATTGAAAGCCGGATCTGCAGACGTGCGCGGAAACAGCACGCCCGTTTCCGTGTAAAGCCGAAAGGGCCACTTAGCCGGCGGAGAAGAGTCGCTGCGGCGTTCCACTGTCACGTGAGAAGGCCGGCCCTCTCGAGCGGCGGTACCTCAGGGAGTGACGCCAAGTGGCCAATCGCAGGCCAGCCCCGCAGGCCACGTGACGAGAGAGTTGTTGCTCTGAAACGGGGGCCGGAGACCCTGCAGACTCGATGCGTCAGCCTGGGGAGTGGGGAATCATCCTTAAGTCCCAGAATGTGCCCAGTAACATCCCTTACACTGTTTCAAAGGCCTTGAGTGGGAGGGTCTGAGGAGGTCGCACCTGAGGGTTGAAGAGAGCGCCCCCGGCCTTGCTAGGACTGAGATATTCCTGGGTTGGGAGTGCTCAAAGATGATGAGAAGCCAGCTGTCCCTGGGTAGGGGAGAGTGATTAGGTAGGCACCGGCATGGCAAAACAATGGCTATGTGCAGAAAGATGCGTCTCTGAAGGACAGAGCGAGACCCAGTCAATGGGATAGAGGATGGTGAAAATGGGGCTGAGGGTGCCTCAGCCCTCTTAATTGAAAACCCAAAGCTTGAGACAGACTGTTGAATCACTGGAAAGGAGACAGGGTTGCAGGTTGGGGACAGTAGTGATGGTGCTTTCGCTCCCTCTTCCCTGCCTATTCCACTCCCCGGGATTGGTCCACCTCAGCCTTGGGTCTCCTTTCCTTAACCCATCCCCCCAAAGAGCCTGGACCTGCCCTACATAACCTCCCTGGGGCCCAAGCACATCCTGTGACCCAAAAATGGAGAGAGGGGCCAATGAGAGGCGAGAGAGGTGGGGGAAGGCAGCAGAGGAAAAGGCCCCTGCCACTGCCCCTACCCAGTATCCTTCCTCTCTTCAAGGTCTGGGGTCACTGTTTTGGGAGTAGGGATGTCAGAGCGTTTCCCAGCCTGCTGGGTTCTCTGATTCACCTCTCCTGGGTTGGGGGAAATCTCCCTGAGACCTCTGTTTTGGGGTTTGGAGTTTGCCTCTGAGCAGAATCTCTATATTTGTGTTGAGATCTTTTCTCAAGACTGAGTTTCCTTTTATGTTTTTTGTTTTGGGTGTTTGTTTCAGGGTCCATTGTCGCAGTCTCTGAGGTCGTTAAGTCTTTATGAGTTTTGGGTCTCTGAGTTCTACATCTCTGGAGCAGCTGTCTCTGTCTCCCCTTGAATCTGGAGTTTCTCTGTATCTGAGTTATTAGTCTCTAAGTCTGCAGCCACTTTTCTCTGAGACCTGAGTCTGGGGTCTTTCGGGTCTCTGGGTCTGAGTTCGCCAAGATGACTCTAGGCCTGGGACTCTGAATCCGGGCCTCATCTTTTTCTTTGGGTCTAGGTCTCAGGTCCATCACCATCTCAGGGTATGGAGTCTAAGGTTTCTGTGGCTTAGGAGAACCTTTCTTGAGCCTGCATTCTCAGATTTTGATCTTTGACTCCTCTCCCGGGGGATCTAGGGTCTTTTTCTTTCTTTCTTTCTGCGATCAGGGATCTCTTTTCCTCTAGATTTTGGGGCTGGGGCGGTGAGGTATCTTTCTCTGTGGGTCGGGGTCTCTCTGCCTCAGGGTCTGGGGTCTGCATCTTTAGGATCGCTCACTCTCTGGTGTGTTTTTGAGTCAGGGGTCTCTCTCTCTCTCTCCCTCTCTTTCTGGGCCTCCCTGAGTAGGGGTGGGGGCTGCAGAGTCTCTCCCCCTCCTCCTCCTCCTCCTGCTCTCTTCGCTTTCGCTCTCTCCCCCGCCCCCCTCTCTCTCGGCTGCCGCTGCTGCCGTTGGCTCTTATTCTCCTCCTCCTCCTCCTCTCTCCTCCTCTCTGCTTCTCTCTGCTCCTCTCTCCTCCTCTCTCCTCCTCCTCCTCCTCCACCTCCTC